TTCAGCAAAATAAATGTATAAATTATAGTTATACATCATTATTTGGAACACTTATAAAATGTAAATACAATCATTGTAATACCATTTCACATGGTTTCTGATACCTTCAAATACGTTCTTTCTAAATATATACTCTAAGCTATCTCATTAATTTTAAGCTAAGACAGTGTCTTAGATTTCTTACAAAATGCTTTATGTGTGAATAAAGAAGGAAAAGAAGGGAATTAATATTCTGTTTAAACCATTTGTGCCAGGCAACTGTTTCTGTACTTACAATATGCTTGGAACAAAACAGCTGTGGTCCTTATCCTATGGTAGCTTGTAGTTTTGTAAGGAAATTTTCCTTAGACTAGAAACAGTTAAATATACATAAACAAATAGACATGAAAGCAGAGAATGAAGTGTGTTTTTAGTAATAATGGACAGCTCTTTTAAATGAGATAGGCAAGAATTAGAAGGAATAAATATTAGGGCTGGATGAGGAAGTGCATATCTGAGATTCCAGCTATTCAGATGGCGAAGGTATGTGGATGTTGGTTGGAGGTCAGTCAAGGCAAAACTATTGTGAGACTGTATCAGAAGTAGAAACTAAAATGTAAACAGACTAGGGTGTCGTCTCTAATGGGCACTAGACCGGGGCTCAATGCCCACCACCACCACTACCAAAATTACAAAGGTGAATATTAAAAATTTTAACAATACAATAACATTTAGTGAATTGAGCTGGCCTTTTAATTATTTTTTTTAAAAAAGGATGTGATTGTTCATGAAGTATCTATCTGTTTATAGTAAGAGAAACATCCAAAATGATAGTTCAGGTGCTTACAAGTCTTTAAAAACCACAGGCTTTAAAAAAATGTGACTAATTCCATGAAGATGCTTTATTTTCTTTTTAAAACACTTATAGGAAATCACACCCTTGGTATATTTTAATTATACGTTTTTTTCTACTTCATTAATTCCTCCTCATGTTTGTCTGAAGGACTTCTTCTGTTTTTCAATTTGTGTTGGCATACCTGAATTGGGCTATGTTTTTTAACCAGTTGTGACTTTACCCAAGAAGGACATCTAGCAATATCTAGAGACATTTTAATAGTCACAACTTGTATATCTGTGATCATATGTGTATATTTGTCTGTTCATGTGCTAATGAAATCAAATGGGGAAAGTTAAGAGGTGCTACTAAACATGCTACCTTCAGACAGGGGAACTCCCCACAAAGGAGGAATTATTTGTCACCCAGTTTCAATATTCCTAAATTTGAGAAACCCTCTGAACTCCTTTAGCTAAACTCTTACCAAAATCTTCAGTATTTAATAACATCTCTTGTTTCAGAAGCTCAGATTTGTATCTTCATTCTAGATTTCTTTCCTAATCCCAACTTACATATTCAAATATTATTGATATAGCTTCAGTTGGATGTAAAATAGACTTATTTCCAATGCTAAATTCTTTTTTCATTGCAAAATCTGCATCTCTTTATATGTTCTTATTTCCTGTCGATGGTACCAGTTATTAAAACAGCTTCTAGGCTAAGAAAATCAGAGTTCTTTAGAACTTCCTCATCTGCTTAATTTCATCCATGACATATATTTCAAGTTATCATTTACCTTCAATATATATGTATAATATATCCTTCAGAACTTCATTCTTATCCTTTCATTTGTAGTATAGAAATGCTGATGCTCAAAATAGTAGCTTGATATTGAACTTTTGCCTTCAGAGTTATGAGAAATGAATTTAATTTTTTCAATGCACCAGCTTGTGTGTTAGCAGAATGAATACAACTCCTGAGTTCTTTTAATAGGATCCTATAAGTTATTTGACTAAGTCTTCACTACCTGATGAATAACATGTTTTAACATCCTTCTCTCCTTCCCCTCCCTCCTTCCTTTCCCCCTCCCTCCCTCCTTCCTCCTTTCCTCCCTTTCTTTTCTTCCTTTCTTCCTTCCTTCCTTTCTCCCTCTCTCTCTCCCTCCCTCCTTTCCCTTCCCTTCCCTTCCCTCCCTGTCTTCCTCTCTTTCTTCCTTCCTTCCTTTCTTCCTCCTTTTCCCTTTACTTTTCATTTTGAACATACAGTCTTGCAATATTTAGGTAGCTATTCTAGCACTGGAACCATATATCCAACCCTTTCATGAACTTTTAGTTATTTCTGTGGTGGGGCTTTGAAATTTTACTAGGCTTTTCTCCAATTGTGATCCTCCTAATCTCTACCTCCTGAATAAACTGAGATTATAAGCAAAATCCACTGCACACAGCCTCCACTTTTTAATTTAATTTACTTTTGTTGTTAATATTTCATGCTGAATTACATTTTACCTTTCAGAGATATGATAGTTATCCTATAGTTTGGATTGTGAGATTACACTGTGTTCTTTAAGATTTCTCTGAAATCTTAAAAAGAATACTGTATTTCCTGTTATACTGCACTGTGCTTAGAGTTCACTAGCTTTATTTACAATATAAAAGAATTGCTGCATTGACTTTAAGAAATTTTATCAACATGTATTTTATAATGCTTTTGTACTTACTATGGGTAGCATGTAAGGTAAGGTATTTTTCCAAGAATATTGTATAGTTCATCCTGTCTTTGGAATAATATGGGAAGAATGGGAAATATTTTATTTTTTGTCAATTCTCCTTTTTCCACTATAACTGAAACTCTAAGCTTTTTAATAATAAATTTTTTCAGGTCATACTGATGAACATATTGTACTAATTAGGGATAAGTTAATTTCTGAATTAAAGATTTAGACTTTTTTAAGGAATGTAGTTGTGTGTTGTCACAACACATTCTAAGATTATAAATGAAAGTATGAATCAATGCACATGCTTCTCAACTAGGGAATGTTTGCTAAGTGGTCTAAATTGCTAATCATGCTTACTCAGACATGCTTGCTGACATATTCTCCTACATTTTGTTGAGTAGAGCCATAGAAACAATATTTAGCATCTTTTTCAGTGCATTTTCCACCACTTAAAAGTGGGCACAGAAGCAAATGGGAACTCGATTACTATATTTTAGCCTATCTTATTTTGATTAAATATTCTTGGGTAGTCCCAACATAAAATTAATTCTCTTGAAAATATACATACAGATGCCTTCTCTCTAAATATGAGTAGAGAATGACCAGGTTTGTCTGTAAACAAATCATTTGCAAACCTAACACTTTTCTCTTAGAGTAAGAGAAATATAGCTTTATAGCTTGGGAGTTAGTTTGCCTGTTTCTAAACTTCAGCTCTACCAGTTTGTACTCAATGACACAGCTGTCTTTATCTTTGTTCTTTGGTGGAAATGGGATTTGAATTCAGAGACTTCACTATTTGAATATGCTTTACCACTTGAAATACAATTTCAGTCCTGAGCAGTTTTTTTTTGGTCTGGGCTGACTTTGAACAGTGTTCCTTAGATCTTAGCCTTCTGATTAGCTAGGATTACAGGTGGGAGCCCTGGTGCCCACCTGTGGGCAGTTTTTAAGTTTGCATTTACTTTCATTTGAACTTTTGTAATGGTATCTAAACTTAAGGTTAATTTAAGGATCAGAAGAGATACTTCAGATAGTACCTCTGGTAGTGTTCATGATGTCCTGGGGAATTGGGATATCATAGTTGGTATATAAACTAACTGAAAATGAGGCCAATAAATATACAATTGTAAACATGCTAAATGCAGTAGACAGGTTGCTTTCAAAAACATATTGAACTGTATTGGAGGTTATGGAAAAATTTTCCTTGGGAAGACTAACTAAAGCTAAAGAACAGTAGACCAGAAGGTGTGTGCTTGCTGCATATGTGGGTGAGCATACGTAGAACACAAGTTCTAGGCAGAGGGAAGAACATGGAAAATGGCTATGGGGTAAGAGGGTGTTTGGTGAGTAAGGCCTGAGTGTTTGAGAATTAGTACAGTAGTCTCTGATACTGGAGCTAAGACTGGGAGGGAGGTAGAGAGGAAAAGTCCATGACTCTATAAGCCTCTGTAGGCCATGTGTGGGAATGTGACCTAGCAAACCCATGACAGATATGTGAATTGTAGAAACACATTGGCAATGATCTCTTATTAGTGTTGTTGTTACTTTTAATCTCTACAGTTCATTAAACATTAGATAAGATTATATGTTTCAATATTTATGTGTTTCTTTCTCCCTATTATTGCAGTTGTCCAATGCTCATTCCTCAAGCTTTCCATTTAGGAATAAAACTGAGGAGACAGCTTTGTTTTCTTTCAATTTTACTATTTAAAGGAGAATTTTCTTTGGAATAACTTCAGGCAAGATAAATGAAAAACAATTGCTGACATATTACCTACTGTGATACTTATAAATATTTTATGCTTTTTAGCCTTTGTGAAATCAAATGCTGTCATTTGTTACCAACTTAAATAAATTAAGAACAAAATTGTTAGAATTGTTAGTATCCAATGTCGGCAGAAAACCCAGAATGATTTCACGTGTTTTGGTCTTCATCTAGAACCAACTTGTGGAAATGGAAGACCTCAAGCTCACTGTGTGAATGAGTGAAAAGAGCTTGAAAGGTGGCTGTTACATGTGTGCCTTTGTGTACCTGTGCGCATGTATTAGTTTTGCTGATCTAAGAAATACTGGTTAGTTCAGAGTCAGTACAGAAACTTTGAACTTTCCCAGAGTCAAAGAACCAAGACTTCTTCATATTTGAATATAAGAGGATAACTATATTAGACCATGTAAATAAACTCATCATGTCATGAACATTAAGTAAAATCTGGGTAGCCAGAGGATGCTTAGTGTGATATTCCACCAGGGTTTTCTTCTTTGTACCATATGTTTGAACAAAGAATTAACCATTTAAAAGTATTTTCTTCATGGGTAGGTTAATATCACCTGATAATTGTTTTTAAATCAAATGCTTTAACACATCAACTTTTCACCTAGAATATGAACCGCTTGTGTGCAGTGTACACTTGTCTGCTGTGTACCATATAGTGGTTGTTGAATCATTTTGGAAATTACTGTCATGTGTTCTAGGAGCTGATCTTCAGGTTTGCATATCTGAGAAACCAACATGTTGCACCAGGAAGATGGAGGAGAGATATCAGATTGCTGCTCGTCAAGATCTGCAGCAGGTCCTCCAAGCATCCAGCGCTGCGTTAAAGTTGCTAATATCTCGAAATGCAGCTGCTTTCCAAGGTAAATGTATTTTCAGTTCTGAAATTAACTACTAGCTTTATGGAGTGAATTGACTCTGATAGAGATACTGTTAATGTGGCTAGGCTTATTTCCTTGTTGTTGCATATTATTTTAGCATAAAAGGGAGTATTGCCTTTTCTTAACTTCATAACTTATGTCTGAGGTTATCCAGGACATTGAATAAACTGTTACATTATTGACATAATCCTGGTAAGTATTTGACTTTATAACACAATTCTTACCCATGAGTTTTCCTCAAGGCAAGCAGACAGAGTAATTCAATTTCGTGAAGAATATGTTACATAAAACATCACTGCTTTTAACTGGGCAATTTTATATTTAAAAGTACAACCCAGAGAAATATTTAAGATTTCCTTCTGCAACTTTATGTTGTTTTCACAAGAATACCAGTTCAATATAGCAAAATGCAGGCAAGTACGATAAATAGAAAACTAAGAATATTAATTGAATGTTTAAGGGTTAGATAGGACCAGAACAAAACCTTAGTTCAACCAATATGTTCAGGAATAAAATTAATGAGTTATGAAATTACCTGGCACACTGAAAAATAGATGATCTTTTCCTTATTTTAGCCATCTTTTCTATCAAATTGCTTATTGCTATAATAAAACACCTTAATTTATTTTCCTCTTTTATAAAGCATTAGCTATTCTGTATATGACTTCAGTGGTAATGTGTAAATTATACTGCTTTTCTTTTCAAACAAATTTATTGTTTTTGTTCCACATAGAATATAACTTCTGACAGTATTTTTAATAAGTATATTTATGTCAATGTGTTTAAATAACTTGTTTTGTTTATATGATATAACTAAATCACAAGGCTGGTTAATTTTTAAACTATACTTATTAAATAGAATCAATATAATAACAGAATAAAATTTAAATTGACTTAAAATGTAGGTCATGATGAACTGGTATTTTTTTCCTACAATGTCAGATTTTGTGTGTGTGTGTTTTCTTTGTGTGTGTGTGTGTGTGTGTGTGTGTGTGAAAATATCATACAGAGTGGTTACAATTACATGGGCAAGGTAATGAGTACATTTCTTATCAAGCATTGTTGCCTCCTCCTTTGTTTCCCCTTCCCATCCCTTCCCATCTCCCCTCTGCCCCTAGCCAAAGTTGTAAAGTTTGTTTTTTGTCATAATGTCTTGTACATCTCATTGTTGCAATGGGTCCACCTGAATCCCTATTTAAACAATTTGTTTTTTCCCTTCCCCTCCACAAATTATACCAACATCAAATACAGTGAAGACAGAAGTTATACTGTGGGGGAAGGACATACAAAGCAACAAAGAAATATCTTAGAATTATGTTAGAAACAATAGCAAGAAAGAAAAACCATTTGAGTCCTTATCTTGGGGTTCATTTCGCCTAACATCAACTTATCTGACCATTTCTGCTTGTCTCAGACATATACTACTTATTGCAAATAAGAGAAACTATGGGACCTAGATTTTAGGATCTTATTAAATATATCCTATTTCAGATTCTTTGAAATACAACTTTCATGCCATCAAGTTTATTCATGTAAAATATTGGAGGAAAATGTACTGATATGCATGTTAAACAAAGATTTGTGATATTAACTGGCTAATTGGAATACTTTAGCCACTATGAAAAAGTATGATTACTATGTGTAATTTTGTGTCACTAAAAACATGTGAAGTCTGGGATTTTCTCTATTTCCCAGAGTGTCATGTAATTTCATATAATCTTTTGCTTTCTGCTTACTAAATTGTATCTTCTGTTTTTAATAGATTGAGTTTTACTTTTTATTAAAAAATTAATTAAAATAAAAAAGAATAGAAAAAATTATTCTTTCTGTCCTTTTAAATTTTCTTTTCTGGAACTGGGATTTGAAGCAAAGGCTTCAAACTTTCTTGGTTTGCTTACTGGGCTTGATTGCTAGATTTGCTCTACCATTTAGTCATACCTCCAGTCCAGCTTTTTGCTGGTTGTATTGGAGATGAAGTCTCATGGAATATCCTGCCTTTGGTTGCCATAAAAGTATGATCTGCTGGATCTCATTCTCTGAGTAGTTAGGAGAAAAACCATCAACCGCCAGTGCCTGGCCTTGCTTTATTTTCTTGTTGATGCTTTTGTATGTCTGTTGAGTGCCTACTAGTAGCCAAATCTCTCAAGTACTTATATTTGAGGAAGTGCCTAACTGTTAAATATATTTTACTTTTATTGGCTCTAATATGATAACGTGCTTATTTACTTATTTTAAAACTAGAATGGGCACATTGTATTTCTGTCAGTTTCATAATGAAGACTATTATACTGGCTTTTGCAGTTTTAAGCAGCCTGTGATTTAGTGTGTTTTCTTATGCATCAGCTACAAATGCAATTTTTCCTTATCAAACTTTTCCTTATCTCTGAAGTTAAAAGTTGTGTGTGTTTTTCAAATCTATGTCAGCAGGCAGCTATAAATTATCTGTATTCCAGGTAAAAGTTATTGGAGCTAAAATTACTTTGCAACTGGAAATAAAGATGGCTTTGCATGAAACATAATTGAGGGTGGAAAAGAATTAACTATAGCTTAAGATCGATTTTCCTTGACAAAGTTATATATGAACTCTAAGAAGCCAACTTCTAATTGTTTGAATTCTGATCAATACAAATTATGATAATATTATCTATGCTTATAGTAGTTTGACCTGATAGGCAAAATAACTTGTTCACAGTATGCTAAACAATCCATCCTTGATTTTATATTGAGTACAATTGCCATTTTCAGTATAAGAACTGTACATTAATTACATAGAAGATAAGTTGATTAATTACCAGATTATTTATAATTTTATCTTTATATTACTTGAACTATCTTGGTTTTGCAGAGATAGTTCTCAAAGGCTGCCTATTTATTTTAAAGGGAAATATCTGTAAAATATTTAACTAGCTACATTGTAAAAATGTTTTTTATTGTAAAAATAGTGTGCAGAGGGGTTACAGTTACATGAGTAAGGTAATGAGTACATTTTCTATCAAGCATTGTTACCTCCTCCTTCGTTTTTTCCCCTACCATCCCTTCCCTTCCAACCTAGCTACATTTTTGAGTATCTAATAAATTTTACTGAACAAATAGATATGAAATGTTATCTTGTTTTCAAAATATGGTTCTCTCATTGTTAGTGAGCCTGATTTTTTTTCTACATAAACTTTATTTTGTGGGCTATTTTCTCTTAGAAACATATCATGTGTATATACACTTAGAGAATATATAATGAATATATTGGATATACTTAAATTCTTCTAAAGTATAGATACCATCTTACATTTCTAAATCTTGAAGTTTTCCCTAAAAACATTCAAATTTGATCTATAGCCTACAGATAATTTGAGTTCTGTATCGCCTGTGGTTAGCAGTTGCGTGGGTCTTCCTGCCTCTGGTCCTCTGGCTTTGTATTTCTCATTCATTGTTTCTTTTCTATGAAATTCAGCATGACTTTCTGTCTTCGGTTTCTAGCTCACAAACTCATGCATGCACACTTATCTATGAATTATGTATAAAATTTTATAAGCTGGTAGTGAGGGAAGAAAGAAAATGTATAGATGACAAGTAATTTTAAATCGAGTATTCATTGCTATGTTGCCAAGTCTTTTTACTGCTCCTCCATTGATTCTTGAAATCACCAGCCTCCCTCCTTCTCTATGGCACATCTCCCACTGTGCTGCAAGACTGTAGTCTGCTCTTATGATGGGGAGATACCATAACTTCTACTTCCTGACACTTAATATAGGAGCGTAGAGTATTAAATAAACACCACTCAGCTCTGAGGGTAAATGTAAACAGTACTTTTTGATTATTTTTTTTCTATCCCCTAAAACATTAAATCCACAAGCACAGTTAATTTTTCTAATGCAAAAAGTGAGTTTTTAATATTAAATTAAATCCATTATACATTTTAAATGATAGTTTTTATGGTACTAATCCATTAAAAATATTAACAATTGCTATCTGCTTTTAATACAGACTTTAGGAATGTTTACTTCTAAAAATCTATTATAATTAGTAAGTTGCATCAGAATTTTATTTTGTGTGTGTGTGGTATCGAGGTTTGAACTCAGGGTTTTGTGCTTGTTAGGTAGGCTCTCTACCATCTTTGCTTTGGTTAATTTTGAAAACTTCTGCTCTAATTGACCTGGAATGTAATCCTCTAGTTTATGACTTCCCAATAGCTGGGATAAAAGTGTGCACCACCATGCCCAACTATTAGATAAGATGAAGGTCTTGCTAACATTATGCTAAATCCATTTTTATTAAATGTTTTACTTAACACTACATACTTAAGGAAGAAATAAACTATATGAAAAGTAGTGTTTCCAAGTACTGTACAGAAATATACATTAAAGATGGTACTATGTAATATGATGATCATTTTATAATTCAATTTTTATGAAACATTTAAAATATTTTACCCAGTGGAACAAATTTAATATTACATTGATAGTGGTATTTAAAATTTGTATGATGAATAATGGAAGGCTCATACTTTTTCCTCTTAATCCAATGCTCTTAATATCTAAAGTGTTTTTTTTTTTGTCTTCTGTGAGGGAAAAATGTTTCAATATGGAGCATAAAGCATTTTTCTACTTATAAAGAGAGGGGCAGAAAAATGCTCATTGCCTAAATGTATTTTGTGTGAAGAAAAAAATTTCCATGAGTGATTACTTTATTGCAAATTATTACTAGTTTATTACTATTATAAATTATTTGTGTGTATATTTTTTGAACTGTATCTAGATGAACTACCTGGTTTTCCAGCCTTTTTCATATGACATTTTTTATTGGTCTTTTTAATATCAACATGTTTACTTTTGGGAATGGTAATTTACCTATCAAGTACCAATCTAACCAACTAGCTAAAAAGTATCATTGTTAGTATTTGAAGTGTTTGCAATTTTACATACTTTAAGACTATACAGTGTTTTTTTTTGTTGTTGTTTTATTTTTGTTTTTGGTCATGGGGCTTC